TTCACCAAGTCTTTTTGGTGTTTTTTTTTTCTTCTGAGGCTCATAATATGCAGATGGGATATCATCTCGTCCTCTGCTTTCACTGGCCATCCTGTCACTGGGTATGTTCTTCCTGTACAGGTGATCTTCTGGAAGTAAGTTTGACAGGAATTCTGGGATCCTCTACAGATTGAGGTTCCATTGAAAATTTCTTCTTTGGAGTTATCTAGTTGTCCATTCTATCACTAATGTACTTTCAAAGATGATCATGGTGGATGACTTTTGGCTTGGAACACCCATCCTTCTGGATTTGTAAACCACATCATTAATTCTTTTCAGTACAGCTCTTGCTTAACTTTTGGGTTTGTCCTTTCTTGCAGAGGGGATTATACAACCATGCCATGTCATTTCAATGGAATCCAGTGTTATTAGCATAAACATCATAGCAACTTTCCATTTTACCAGGAGCCTTTTTTTTTTTAGGCAAAGTCATGTATGTTCCTTAATTTCTCTACATATTATGTGGAAGATTATTCTGAGTGACTATCATCCAGAAGAAAGTACAGTAGGTCTAATGGAACTTTTCATTCTCTCCCAAGCAAGATGGTGAAGTGTTGCCGGTAGTTTTATGTACTGCTGTATGATAACTCATCAGTAACAGTGGAAGATCTTGATCCCACATTTTCTGATGTTTATCCACATACACGACTAACCACTTTAGTGTGCAGTTGTATATCTCCACAAATCTGTCAGAAAATGGATCAATGAGTATTGTCCTGGTGTTTTTAATAACAAGATTCCAACACATTTCTCCAAACAAGTCTGATTTAAAGTTCCATTCCTGATCTGAGTGAAGCTCCTCCTTACTCAATCTTGATACAAGTTCGATGGTGAGTTTTTTTGCAAGAGTTTTTTTCTACTTAGAAACAGTATATACTTCTGGCCCTTTGGTGAAATAGTCCGTTACAACATGATGTATCTATTCCCACTGTTATTCAGTAGAAGAGGACCAAGCACATAAACAGCAACTCTTTCTAGTGGTGCTGCCACACAATACTTTTGTATCTACCCATGCCTTCTTTATTTTTTGGACCTTTTTTCTCACAGCATAGTTCATGTTTTACACCAATTCTCCATATACTCCCAGCACCTAACCCAGTAGAATTGTTCTCTTGCTTGCTCCACTGTCTTCTTAGTATCCAAACGTCCTGCCTTTTGAAGGTTGTTGAGATGACAGAGTGCTTCAGAGTGTAGAGACTAGGGAATTACCAACTGTAGTTGTTATCTCTATCAATTAGTATCATTTCATTTATAACATATAAGTCCTCTTCCAAGCATAAGTAATATTACTGTGTCCAAATACACCAACGTTTTTGGGCTGTTTGAAGTGACTGTGTTCCATGAGGATTTTTCTGTACTATTCTTGATCCACTGACCAAGTGGTTTTGAACTCATATTTTCTTCCTGAGCAACTTCCAGTTCGGTGTTTGACCATATCATTTCTTCATCATCATTGGTGGATGCCACCTCTTGAAATTTGCTTTCCTTTAGTTTGGCCATATTTTCTCTTCTGTGCTTCCTTCTTCTCCCAGTGTTTACACTTTAATTAAAACATGGTCTTTGAAATAATGTGTCTGTTTTCATATAGTTCTGTCCATGGCAACGTATGATGTTAAAGTTGTATTCCTGGAATTTTGCAGCCATGTTACTACTTGGCTTTCTGGATTATGAAAATTCACCAGCCATTTCAAAGCTGCACAATCTATTAAAAGCATAAACTTCTGACCATATAGATAACAATGGAAATGACTCTGGGCTCGAACTACACTTAGTAGCTCCTTTCAAGTTTTACAGTACCTCTTTTCTGTGGCATTCATTACCATTCTATAGCAGGCAATCACGTTTTTTTCCATGTTGTACTTGTGACATAACTACTCTCACTGCAAGATCATTAGCTTCTGAAATGAGTAGATCTTTAAAAGTTGGGTGTTCCAATGCTGGAGTAATTGTCAATTCCTTCTTCAGCTTGTTGAATGCTTGTACACAGTCAGTAGTCCAACAAAATTTATTTGGTTTCTTAGTTTGTGTAGAGGATGAGATATATCAGAGAGAGATTCTACAAAACAATATAGTAAGAACACAGTCAAAGAAATCTCCTTATTTCACACAGGTTCTTTGATATTGACCAATTTTGGACAGAGTCAATCTTCAGTAGATCTGTAGATACTCCTTCTCTGCTAACTATGTGCCCCAGAAAACTCATCTGTTGACAAATAATTCATAAGTCTTGAGATTCAGCTTAAAGTTCTCTTTCCTCAACTATTCTTGAATCTTCCATAGTTCTCTTTCTCTATAACAAATGCTATTACATTATTTATGTAAATTTTTACAGTGTTTTTCTTTCCTACTGTCATACACTCCAATGTAGCTGGATTCCAATTTATCTCTCTTCCAATGATTCTCATTCTAATAGTTGGCACCATGTGCCTGAATTTTAATGGGTGATCTATAAATCAGTTTTTTTGTAGTTAAGAAATCAATCTAAACATAAACTCTTTGTTTGTTTTGAATATTGTACCTTTCATCAAGTGACTGGCATACTGACGATCTGCCAGTATTTGAATTTCGAAAATCATCAGAATCTAACTTTATGGTCCTAATTCAGTTTGAAATTAAAATCCAATGAATGTTTAGAAAGGTAACAAATGTAAAAAAAATATATTATATAAAACTAAGTTAAAACATTTTTAGTAATAACATTTAAGAGATCAACAAAACTTGAACCTTGGTATTTTAAATATACATCTAACTCATGTAAAAATATATATAGAGCTACAAGCAAAAAATGTTTTAGAGACCAAATAAAGCCATTTGAACTAAGGTTAAACTAATTTTCTCTGCCTTCCAGCTGTTTTAATAATTTTTGTTTGTTTTGTTGAATTTTGCACAAAGCTACATAAGGGCTATTTGTGCTAGCCCTCCCTAATATTGAAGTGATAGGCTATAGGGAAGACAATTAGACAATATCACCCACCACCAACTCTTGTTTTAGAATAGAGTGTGGTATTTAATTGTTACTCTTATACTGGATACATGACCCTACAATTTTGTTTGGTTACAGTGGGACACAAACCATGGAAACTAAGATCCACAGTTCAGCATGCTAACAACTGGGATGTGCTTGGCCAATAATATTTGTACTTTCTGATATCATAAGTATATCATTACGACTTCTTTCATGTGTTATGCAAAAGCAAATAGCTACATGATATTTCCAAGTACACAAATGTTTCAAGAATCATAATCTATAGTCAAATGACAGATGAACTTGAATTATAATTGAGCAAATTCATCCAGAAAAATGAACACCATTCTAAGTTTAAGCTTCTTAATTTCGATACTTCATTAAAATCTTTGAATTCATTGAGAAGTAAAATTCAAATTAAATAATAAAAGTTTAATTGCATGTATGAATTTGGTAATAAAATTCCCTTTATTACAAATGTTTGTTGATGTTAAGCACAAAGCTACACAATGGGGTATCTGTTCTGTGCTCACCACGAGTATCAAACCATTTTTATTGGTCTGAGCACTCAGACTTACCACTGAGTCACTGGGGCTGAAGTGTGTGTTAAGGACATGCATTTGATTATCCCTATGATCACTTTATTGGACTTATTTTAACATTGGTCTGAATAAGAAAATAAATCAAAATTTTATCAAATTTTAAACTAACATAGCAAAACATAACCATCTAGTAGCATCTACTATTTCAAATCAATAAGAATAACCAAAAACATTGAAGAATTAAAATTTAATGCATGTGAATTAATTATAAATAAAAAAAGAATAAATCCTGTTCATCAGAAAAAAAAAGTCCAATGTTGTTATAAACAATAACTTTCTTTGGTGTTACAGATTGTTTAAATGACTGATTTAACATAAGTTTAAGTGAGAACTTTAAAAAAGTAATTTAAAGACAAATTAGAAAACAAATCACTTTTATTCTGAGATAAATAACAGTGACAGCACTGCTAAGTCAAATCAGCAGTAAAACAAATATAGATATAACAGTAAAAAGAGTATACTAATTTACATGCACACCTCATAAACATAATATAAACTATAACTTTAAAGTATCGCAGTCCAATATCACATGTTTTATGTTTATAAGTAAAAGAAATATATCACCTAATCTTTCAATTATGTTATTAAAGCCTAAATTATTTTGTGAAGCTTTAGATAATTCCCAATAAATGCATTCACAATAACCAATAAAATATTTTTAATTTTTTTACAACTTCATTATTAACTGATATTGATGAGTTCATAGAAATTCCAATTTTCAGTTTTACATTTTAATTTTAAATCAAATCTTATCACCATCTGGCTTTACTGGAACATAAAATCACCCTATTAATATTCATTAAGTCTTTCTTATGTGGGTTTGTGTTACACTTACAAAACTAATATAAACCAATGTCCTTTAAAAACACAGATAAATGAAATAAATGGTGTTTAAATTCTCCTTATGTAAATATATGTTACACCATTGAAATTACAAATTTCTGGTGGTCTTTCCCCCCTATAAAAAACTGTCAGGCCCTATACAACTAGTAATGGTTTTGTAGTGTATATGTAATCAAAGTTGAAGGTTAAGGCAGCCATATTCCTAAATGTTTAAACTAAATTTTTCAAGTACAGTCTGACACAGTTCCAAAGTATCATTGGTACAAGAGAAATATCTGTGATTTGTGTACACCGTTATTCACCCACAACAAAACTGCTTTTTAAAGAATTTTCTTCTGTATTTATACTGAAATAGTTTCTAAGAAAGCCATGCATTATTTACATTTTCAAAAAGGAATAATAAAATACTTTATAAATCATAATTTAAAAAGTTAAATATATTAAGTTTTGCTTCGAAATGCTATATATTTTCATGTTGTTTTTTTTGTCTGTTTTTATTACTGAGGTTTTATTTCTTGTTCTGATGACTTAAAGGATCAAATGTGTATTTCTAAGTTATTTATTATGGCATTATTACTGTTTAGTATATATTATACTTTTATTAATTTAGCTATCAAATGATGTGCCTGCTTTGACTGATATACGAGAGTGAGAAAAAGTACTAAAACTTCTTTGAGCTGGCTACACAGCATGAATAACTTACTTTTATATTTTAATTTTGCTTTCAAAAGGATTATTTGCCTTGATTCATAATGCAAGTGTGATTAAGAATAACATTATTGATACCAGCTCATGACCTATGGAAGTACTAGAACAGGAATCTAGTGGTAGATAGAAAATGTGCCTGAGGATAACAGCTCATGGCTCAAGAAGAACAGGAACTCAATGGTAGATAGAAAATGAGACCTATGATAACAGCTCATGGCTCAAGAAGAACAGGAACTCAATGGTAGATAGAAAATGAGACCTATGATAACAGCTCAAGACTCAAGAAGGTACAAAAATAACATAAATTTTTAAAGATTCATCCAAAATGTTCTAGATCTGTTTAAAAACGTGTTCACAAACTTCATACTTTATCCACATGTTCTGTATTACACATTTTTTCAGTGAATATATTTATAATCTCTAAGTTATTTGTATAAATGTAAATAAAATGATGACCTATATCTCCAGAATGTAACTTTAGTAGTTCATTATTTTACTATTACAGCTTTGTTAGAAGCTATCGATTTCCTACCAGTTCACTAATCCAGTTGAATCTAAATTGGAACACTATTAACTGTAAATCAAACATCGATACGTGTTTAGAAAGTTCAGATCATATTAAAATAATATCAAACATTCTTGAATTTAAATTGTTGAAACAAATCAAACCAACAATGCTAAATTAATAATATGTGTAAATCAACTATTAAAATCATTGGATTTAGAATAGGATATGTTATGTATATACAATATCTCTTCATATTTGTATATGTAAGTATTACTTCACATTATTATATCAATACATATATATAAAACAATGTCTGAAAATATCTTTCAACCTTTATGAGTTTGTATAGAGACTTCATCAAAGTTCAAGATATCAAAATTTTAAGAATGCTATTAATGTCTCTATGCTAAAGGCCAACCTTTATATTTGTTCATTTCAGGTTTCTTTTTCTTGATGAAAATTGATTCTTTAATCTTTCAGTCTAGAAAACTATGGCATTTAGATATGATCTGATAAGATGTTATCTGTTTGTGGTATGCCATGTTTTTTTCCATAATGTTCTGCAATAGCATTGTTTGTACTGAGGTTCTGGATGTCATGTACATGTTCAGTTATTCAATCATGTATGGGTTGTCAATTTTCTCCTATATATGTGCAGGAGCATCTGCCACAAGTTACTTCATATAAAACATGCTTACTATGACATCGACCATGCAGTCCATATTTAGTGGCTTTACAGTTATTTTTCATACATTGTGTTTCTTTCTTGTATCCTGAACTTGTTATTAAATTTAAGGGAGATGCCTGATTTTTGTACTATTTGCACATGTCTATCAATGTTTGATTTACTGTTAACAGCTTCCAATTTAGATTCAACTGGATTAGTAAACTGGTAGGAAATCGACAGCTCCTGTAATAGCGAAATAATGAGCTAATAAATTTACATTCTAGAAATATAGATCATTATTTTATTTGTGTTCATAAAAATGTCTTGCAATAAACTCCAGTTTGCATTAAACAAAGTTAAGAATAATAATTTTAAGTTATTTGATTTTTTATCCAGGTGTTTCAACTGTAAATGTCTAAAAACTTCTACCAGGTGTTTTAACTGCCTGAAAAGCTGTATCAGGTGTTTTAAGTGTAACTACCTAGAAAACCCATGTTTTCTGACAGTAGATACTCATGAATCTAAATCATTAATATTATGATATATTTCAATAGCAATGTTTTTACTGTACTACTAAACCACATGCAAAAACATGTAAAAAAAAAGGAAAAATATTATAATATTTTAAAATTATAACATGGATTGAATATCACGAAAATAATGCTTATATGGTTAACAACATATCAAACTTATCTATTTATAAAGTGACACCTTGTATAAATAAAAAGTTGAATGTCTTTATAACAATATAAATATCATTTGTATAGTAAAAATGTATTGCTTGACTCACATGATAAGTGACTACTTTAATTTCTTAGCCTTCTGTCAATTTGGATAATTAAGTCTAAATGAATCACATAATTTTAGAAGAACAAAAGCAAAATTTTGTTGATTTAACTCTGAGAAATGCTGTTCCTTTCCTCTATTATCATGAATGTTATGTAATAGTTGAAGCACTTCTAGGTTTTAATCAGGGTATTTTCTTTATATGAATTAATAACCAGCTGGTGATGAATTATATGTATTCTTTGAAACAAGGAGGACAATGAACTTGTAAATAACAAAAACAAAAAAAGTTAATTTTTGGGAACTAATATTTTGCACAAAAAAGAAAATCACCTCAAAGAAACCTGTAAAACATTTTCTATTTCTCAACATGTGCTAATAAGCTGTAATGTTGCTGCTAAAGATAACAACTTTATTATCAGAAGTAGAGCTAAGGAGGTTCTACAGTTACAGATGCATAAGATTGTAGTAAACGAAACTCTCAGGCCAACTTTGGACCAACAAAATATGACTTTTTCATTTTTTATGAAACTGTAAGCTCATTTTTCTTTATTTTTTATTCTCAGTTTAAAAGCTTAGGTGACAGTTGACTTAATTAACAACATAAATTCACCTATTATAAAAGAATAAACTTCTTATTAAGGAAAAACCTGCTGATCATAAACTAACATAAATGTTTTTTCTGTATTAAAAAGGGTTTATATTCAGAAAGAAAGTTTCAATGTTAATGCCATAATAACAACAGATTAGGTTATTTAAAGTATAGAACTGATTTGTTCAATACTTATAAATATTTAAACTAAAACATATTTACAGCAAAGAATAAAGCTTCATTTCAATAAATAACAAATGTTGATCTTCAAAAATATTCTAAGAACTAATTCCAAAACATTTACCTGAATACATCTAATAAACTAATTCATTATGTTTTACCTACATGTTTTTCAAATTCATGTTAGTCATGCTGCCCAAATTAACTACTGGTACATTTAATTGGTAAAGCAGTTAAAATAAAAAGCAACAATAAGCCTCTAGAAATTACTAACATCCAGATCTGTTGTAATCTGAGAATCTGAATATCAATTTTTAAGAAATATTCTGAATAAAAAGAATTCCAATTGATATGCCACAGCCAATATGTTTAGTAGTCATCTTAAAGAAACTGTTTCTTATCAGACTACATAATTCTCAGTTTTCAGTCATGTTACATCTAGAAAAACTGAAAACTCGGGTTCAAAGTCAATGCATATACACATATTAGAAGAGTCCACTTTTAAAGAATATCAGCACTAGCTGCACACAGTGACTGCAATATTTACATAGCTTGGATGTAATCAATCAATTTTACATATGCATACATTCACATACACACACAGCTCATTCTTGCACAGATCTTCTTGAGCAATTACAAGAGAACATAAGCTAAATGACTAAGCTTAAGTCTAGCTGGTAAAAAAATTAATGTTGCCTAGACAATTGCCAGGTAAAGAAATTTTCCTGGGGACAAAATGATGGCAAGGACAGTACTTTTCTGGTACTGTCTGAAGCATGCATACTAACTTTGATGAAACTAACAACCTTGTTAAAGACAACCACAGCCTCAGTATTACCAGTTGGCCATTCCGGGTTTGTTCAGGGTCATGAAATAAATCTGGCATGATGACCCTCCTTTGGCCGAAGAAAAGAAAACCTGTGGCAAAAACATTGTAAGTCTTGTGTTATTTTAAGTCATCTTTATTTACTATTTATTTCCACATCATGCTAAAAAATATATATACAAAATGAAATATTGCAATTAATGCTTCACATACTCTATCATTTCTTACCAACTTAAAGAAAGTAAAATACTCCTGCTTATATTTATAAATGTTTAAAAATAAAGAGTATACTTCATACTAATAATCATCTTAATTTGCATTTGATTAGCTGTAGTGTAGCATATACAAATATCATTAGGATTATTGTAAGAACAGCAACTGATAGAACATTCTCAATAGTATGTAGTTTTGAAGATATTGATGTTACAAAAATCACCATTCAAAAGCTCAAAATAACTATCTCACCTTATCATTTCTTTCACACAAAAACTTTAACTTCTGGGACTTTTTATGCATAAATACTCCATCAAGAAGTCCTGTTTCTACATTCCGAATCTCAATAGCCTTGTTTCCCCAGCCCATCACCTGCCCTGTTCCAATGTAGGCTGTTAAAAAGAAGTTTTATTTAAATAGAAAAAACAGTGATGCTATGGTATTTACAGATTGATTATATGCTGAGATAAGTACAGAATTAATATATAATGGGAGTAGTGATGCTAAGGTATGTACAGATTGATAACACTGGGAATAATGATGTTGAGAGAAGTACAGACTGAATATACTCTGGAAGTAGTGATATTAACGAATGTAAAGACTGATAACACTCTGGGAGTGGTGGTGCTAAAATAAGTATACAGTGATTATACTCTGAGAAAAGTAATGCAAAAGTTTTTACAGATTGATTATATTCTGGTAATAGAGATGCTAAGATAAGTATAAATTGATTATACTGTGAAAATAGTGATCTTAAAGTATATACAGATTGGTTTTACTTTGGAAGTAGTGATAAGTATTTACATACTATTTATACTATTGGAATAGTGATGCAAAGGTATTTACAAATTGATTACACTTTGGGAGTAGTGATGCTAGGGTATGTACAGACTGATTATACTCTGGGAGTAGTGATGCTAGGGTATGTACAGACTGATTATACTCTGGGAGTAGTGATGCTAGGGTATGTACAGACTGATTATACTCTGGGAGTAGTGATGTTAGGGTATGTACAAACTGATTATACTCTGGGAGTAGTGATGCTGACATAAGTATAGATTAATTATACTCTAGCTCCTAGTTTCAGCTTAAGTTCATATATGTTAGTATTAGGTCGTCAAGAAATTAATGTAGCATTTTGGAACACTTTCAGTAACCACCCCCAAAAATGTATATCACGTATAATAGTTAAACAAATTGCCTGAACATCATGTTAGTGTAGCCTATATAATGTGTAAAGTTTAGTATACTCTAATCCCTTATAGTGATGGAACATGATGAGACACACATTCGGCATGTAATGCTGTTTGAATACAAGAAAGGAAACAATGCCTCTCCAGCCACAAAGAATATCAAAGAAGTTTATGGAAATGTTTTTAATGTTTGTAAGTGTCAACGATGGTTCAGCAAATTTTGTTCTGGTGACTTTGGCCTTAAAAACTGTGATTGCAGGGGCCAACTTGTTGGAATTGATATTGATGTTCTGAAGATGCTTGTTGTGTCTAACCCAAGGCAACACACTCATGAAATGGCCCTGAAATTATATGTCTCTCATAAAACAATATGTAAACATCTAAGGAATATGGGAAAATTCCATAAAGAAGGTGTTTGAGCACCTCATGAACTCTCCGATGGTCATCGTTTCCAACATGTGAACATTGCTTTGTCTCTTCTGGCTTGTAATGCGTGTGAACCATTTTTGAACAGAATTGTCACCGGTGATGAAAAATGGATTTTTATTGAGAATATTAAATGCCAAAAACCATGGCTCAGTCCTAGACAAAACCACTTCCAACCCCAAAACCTGTACTCCATCTGCAGAAAGTGATGCTTTGCATTTGGTGGAATATCAAAGGAGTAATTCATTTCGAACTCCTCAATCCACAGCAAACTGTCAAAGCAGAGATCTATAGTCAGCAACTGGAATGTTTAAATCAATCCCTTCATTAGAAATGCCCTTCACTCATCAATCAGAAAGGTGTTCATCTTCTCCACGACAATGCACGTCCACATGTGGCTCGTTTGACGCAACACAAGATTATGGAGTTGGGTTATTCTCCAGATATGGAACCATCAGATTACCATCTTTTTCGTTCACTGCAACACCATCTTAATGAGAAAACGTATGCAAACGTGGCAGGTGTTAAAGAGGACATTGACATGTTTTGAGCTTCAAAGCCAAGTGATTTCTTTAATCAGGGCATTAATAACCTGATTGTGAGATAGAAAAGCATTATTGATAAGAATGGAGACTATTTTATTTAATGAATGTTTTGTTTTGATATACAAGTTGTTCGGGTTTTTTCATCTAAAAAAAGTGACATTAATTTCTTGATGACCTAATATTTCTACCATTTTTAGATTGTGATATTCTGAAAATTTTGTTGCGAGACATTGTTTAAAGAAAAACATTAGAAGTACTTTCTTTTCTCATAGAAGTTAAAATTTTGTTATTGTTCATCAGAAAGCTCCATTTTATACATCCAGTCAGTTTCAACTTGATTAATATTTACTAATATATGTCTTTTGATGCTTTATCTTGCCAACTGCAGTAGTCATCACTTCTGGCTATAAATCCTAACAAACACAAGAAACTGACAAAGATTTATTGACGACCTTTCAGAATGAGTCACCATTATGTTTATCACGAAAAGGCATTGTGATGTTTACTAACAATATTCCTGATCAAGATCAATTTATATTCTAAAAATACACTTTATTTTTAATAGATATTCAGTTTTTTATTTGAGTGCAAATAGATAAAATTGAACATGAAAACATTTTCAGAAATGAAAAGAAGGTCTAAAAAATTACAAAAAAATACTCATATTTGTGGTTTGTTTCAAAGTCTTCTAAACATTTCAGTAGATACCTTTGTTCGCATGAACCGAAGCTCAAGCGAGTCAACAACTTGAGACATCATGAATTACTGCTCAAACCATTATTTACACTGCACCATTGTAAACAGTTTATAATCTGTTCTACACAATCATATTTAAACATTTATTGCTATTTTCAAAAATTAGTTTCTTTAGTAACTGCTAAGTCCAAATGTTGTGACATTGTAAATGGTGGCAACAGTTTGTTTGCTTTGAATTTTGTGCAAAGCCATTCAAGGGCTATCTGCATTAGCCACCCTATGTTTGGAGTGAAAGATTAGAGGGAAAGCAGGTAGTCATCACTGCCAACTCTTGGGTTAATCTTTTACCAATGATTGCAAATCAAGTACTCTAACCATCAGGCCAAAACGTTGCCTGGCAACAAAGAGCAGTAGCAGTAAAACAGCTAAAGAGAAGTAAAATAATGTGGTACACAAGAAAGTGATAGTTTCTTAGCAAATATAAGCCTATATGTTGGGATGGGTAGAAAAAGTCTAAAATAATTCTATAAAATTTGCTTTACAGATGTAATTCCTTGGAGCTGTGCAGAATTGAAAACAAATATTTTTTCATTTGTATTTGCAAATTACATTTAATAAAAATGAAGTGAAAAATGTCAATTGCGAAATTATTGTGAAAGTTGATATAATTTCAAACTGTAATTCTATTGGTTTAAATATTGGTACCTAATATGAGCTAATATGTTTTACAATCTACAGCATCAACAGAGAAACAAACCATAAGTATTGGTTTTGGTTAGATAGATGGACAGTTGAAATCTTATGCAATTCCATATTGTGTTTTACTTACCAACTGATGTTGGCATCTCTCCCCATTGAAGAACTATATTTTTACTAACTCTTCCATAAGTATTGACATAAACACCCTCATCTGCAAAAATAAATTAGCTTTCAGTACTTTATGTTGTAAAACTCTAGAAAAAATAACTGTATACTTTTCAGTGAATGATTTACACTATAAATTGTGAAATGTAAACCATACTTGATCATGAAATTAAATAATTAGACTTTTGTTAGCAGTCAACCTAAAATACCAATTACCTCAACTGATTCTGAATCAGAGTGATAGGAATTCGTAACCAATTAAGGTATATTATGAATGTAATTCTACCAGTACTAAATTAAAAGTTTGTAAAATGCCTAAAGTATGAACCACTAAGTTGCAGCTGATTTAATATAATATTTATCGTATAATGTTAAAAACTTAATATATTCAAACATTTTCTCTCCATAAAATACAAACATGAAATTACAGTGACAAAAAACAGTTACAACAATCCTTGTGTTAATATTAACTTCTGATCAAAGCAAGCTATCAACATCGATCAGTACTAAAAATCAACCAAGGGATGAATATAGCTAATTTAATATATTGCTTTTACATTTTTTACTCATAATGAATAAAAAGTTTTGTTTCAGCAGCTGAGATATATATATCACTGTTAGTGATATATTCAGGTTTACTCCTAATAATCCATATACTAAGTTAATAATGCAAAATAATCATTATATTATAAATCATATCTTTTAAAAAACATCATATAAAACATGAGTAATATTAAATAATTTACATATCAATCTTATACATGGGCCTGATAAGTATTTTGGTAACATTGTTCTTTCATTGGGGGGAAGGGGGGGGTTCTTTAAATTATCTGGTAAAAATAATTCAATGCCAGTCCAATCTCAAGATAGGTGGCCAATTTAAGCAATTTAGGCTAATCCTAAGTCCATATATTACTCTAAAACAGTAAAATAAGCTTTGTAATAAATCCTATAACAATAAAAATTTTACAGTGATAAATATAAATATATTAAAGATTTTAACTAATAATTTTAATAAAAGTAACATTAAAGAAACAATAGAATATAACTTACTTTCAAAAAGAATATCAAACTGACTTTTCTCAGTTTTGAGAGCCAGTAGTAAACTGAAGAGGTTAATATTAAGGTATAGAACCAATTAATGAACTTTGGCAATCAATTAGTTATCAAGCTTATTAATAAATTACAACCAACTAACTAAGTACTCTCATATGAGACTTAGATAGTTGAAGTAATTAAAAACAGTAACAATCAGAAACACTAATTCTGATTAGTTGATTATTTTTGTGACATTAACCCTATACATCAAAGAGTATTTTATAATTGAAACTTTAATATTATCTAAGTTTTAATTTCTTTATTTCAAAAGGAAATATTAAAAAAGCTCAATCTTCACTCTTCTGTCAAGTGATATTTCTGTGCTATGATCTTTCCCTCTTAACTTCAACAATATAGCTTCTATAGTGCCTAACCAATTAGAAAAACAAACTACATACAGTGAAAAGGAAGATTGTAAAATTTTAACTCCTAAGCTTATTGATTTGCTGAGATATCAATAGATTTGTTAAGTCCACCAGAGAAGCTCCTACCATCATTTCACACATTTGAAGATTTCAAGCAATTTATTCACTCTGCCTATTTGTCTGATGGAAATGTTTGTATCCAATAGAAAGAACACATTGTATTGTACATGACCCTTAAGTTCATTTGTTTAGGTTTGGTGGTCAAAGCTGGTAGTTTGAAGTGTGTTGAGCAATGTTGTTGCTCGAGCAGTAATGGAAATTTTAAAACTTATTTATAGCTTAGTTAGAAAGCCAGATAAATTAAAGTAGTTTTGGGACATTACATTTTATTCTAGTACCTGATAAATGTTTTGCATTATAAAATGCAGATTTGGAAGCTACATGAATTATTTTTTGGACAACTAACATAATAACAAAAAATAAGGTTACAAAAGCATGGTTCCCAAGTACAAATGGCCTATCACTAATGTAAGTGCTAAATTTTTTGGTTTTATATATATATATATATATGTTTCATCTCTTGTTATGATTCTATTATAAACTTCTTATGTTATCTAACAATATATTTACTTTGGTGACAAAGTTAGACTAGCTCAAGCAGTTTAGTGCATTCTGTAACCTGATCATTTGTTTACCCTAAGCTATACCAGAAATAGCAATAATTAAAAGCAAGTTGATGTGAAAAGATTGGTAGCTGAGGCTGTTAGGGTAAATAATTGTAATTGTCTGTTACAATCTGCAATCATTCTAAAATAAAAAAGGTGTTTTTGTTTTTATTTTGTATTTTTCAACTTTTCATTTTAAATGTAAATCCATGATATCACTATAGCTAGTGTTAGAGAAGAGAAAATAGGAGGTTCTAGAGGTTATATAAATATGAATTGTAAGATGAAAAGAAGTATTTTTATTCTTAGCATGAAAATCCCTTTTGACTCAGACTGACTTAGTAAAGGCTTCATGATTCACAGAAAAACCTTTAATGAAAACACTTTTTCAAAAAAATCAGATGTTTTGTTTACAACAGGCTTGCAAACATTTACTGAAAGCTTGCCAAGTTTAATGAATAAGATACACATGCTTATTTATTTAAATAAAAATTAATATACCTTTCAAATATGCAACTTAGAACAAAAAAATATAACAGGCATTAGAATAGAATGTCTCAAAATTACTACAATTTAACTTAACTTTATTTTAACTTTCTAGCTAAGCTATAAATATTGTTATGTATCTACTTATTTGATAATTTCTGGTAAAAATTCTTTCCGAGAAACTTCAGTGATACAAGTTCTTTCTCGATACAAACTTTTAATACACTTAACAACTTTTATAACACATGCCATAAGTCACAGTGATTCACACATTTACTTAATTCAGTGACACAAGTCCCTTCTTGATTAAAACTAGTTTATTCTTTCTCGATACAAACTTTGTAATACACTTAACAACTTTTATAACACATGCCATAAGTCACA